TACTGCTGATGGTCACATCTTCATTCATTCATTATGACAGTTCTTCAGTTACTCTCTATACAACTTGCCACCAACCTAATTGAAAACAAAACAGAATAAATATATAATTTAAAAAAAGAAAGAAAAAGGGCAAAAGGAAGAAATACAACAATCTAGGAAATAATAGACCGTACTTATCAGTGTCCCAACTGTTCTGTTTCCTGAGAGCATCAACAGAAATAACCATGTTGTATGTCCATGCTTTCTCCCCTTTTACACCAAGTGTCTTAACCTGTACAAATTATTTACTTACACACTGAATAACTTTCTATTTTAGATCTGGTGGCCTTCTGTAATGGAGTGACTTCGTTAGTCATCAGTGACAAGGGAAGAACTGCAGATATCATCTACCTGAGCAACCTCAACTAGTGAAAGATGTCCCTGCTCATGGAGGGGCTCATGGTGCAGGACCAGATGATCTTTAAGGTCCCTTTCAGCCTAAACCATTCTGTGATCCTATGACTGTGATCCAGTGAAGTACAAACCTACTCTCTCTAGTATCCTTTAAAAAGGACACTAAACTGTAGCTGAGATTGTGTTCACACTCACTCTTTAACTTTACCAGGTCACTTTTTGAAATAGATCTCCCAGTCCTGCTTCTGAAAGAACAAGTGCTGAGGCTTCCACCACTCTCACCAGAAATTCTTTCAGCCATATGAGAAATTTACTGATAAAAAGTATTTCTTGTAGTTAGTTAAACATCTCCTATTTGTTCAGATTTAGCCCATTGTTCTTTGTAAATCTTTGTTCAGATTTATCCCACATATCTCCTCAACCCCCCTGTTTATTACTGCAGTCATAAGTCCCTTTTCGATACCTACAGAGAAGTGTAATATATCTGACATTTCCCTTCTTTATTTTCTGGAGAAGTTAATTCTCATCTTTTTTCATGTGTTTAAAGAGTATTTTGAGATGGAATTTCCCTGCTAGATAGCATTGATTTTATTTGAGTTCTGGAAGAACAATAACTCATCACTTGTGATTTTTCAAACTAGCCTGCACAAAGCCTGACAGAATACACAGAGAACAGCCCCTCAGCTGGGAACATATTTTTTCTGTATCTGCTGACCCTCGTATTAGTGAGTTATCTCAACCTGCAAGTGACACACTAACCTACCTTGACTGTCCACACCAGACCGCTCACCAAAACTGCATAGAGCAAGGCTTTGCCGCAGAGAATGAGGTAAGTGAGCTTCAGAGAATTTCCATACCGCAAGTAGGACTCTGCAAATCAAACATCATTTGTGCATTGAATCATCATCACAAAAGACTAGATCTAATGTAGCTCTAATTAAATAAACCCCCTTGAAATCTTTAGCCAGGTGACACATGGGAACTAGAGCCAAATGAAATGGCTCTCTTGACGCGAGAGAGTAGTGGATGGGAAAGAATACTGTGATTCAGAGAACCAACAGTAAGCAAGTCTGGTAAAGAGAGAGAATGGCTTAATGCTAAGAAAGTATTTCCTGATTGGGAATGTTTAACCATTGTGTTGCCACACCTACTGAAAAACTAGGCTGTTCATATGAATCTCTCTTAGGAACTCCAATTAAGCTGAACCACAAGATACACATTATTTTTCACGCATTATTGTCTGTGGCTTTGTGAGTGGTGCTGCTGTATCAGTGAAGTTTTACACAGCCCAGAACAAACTAGTCTCTAGAACTTTTATTCTTGTGGATTTTTCACTCTTAAGGAATTGCAGTAGTATTGAGACACCAGCCTTGGTTCAACCTTACGATTCCTGAAGCATTAAAGAAGTTGGTGAAAACCAGGACTGTGTAAAGACGTATGCATAGATATGGATATCCTTGCAGTTTGGAGGGGAATGAGAAATATTCTGAATTTGATATTAAGAAATATTCATGATTCTGAATCTTAATGTTATAATCACTTGGCTGAGTATAAATTTTTGCTTTCATGGATGAGCAAAAAGCTTCCCAATGGAAGGCAGTGTTAAGGACTGGAGGAGATGATAAAAAGAGCAAATTGTACTCTATAGGGAGATTCAACAATTTCTTCTGGTATACCAAAAGAGAATCACAAAGAAGATCTAAAACCCCCCAGACCACAGCTACATACAGCAGGCACATACAAACCTCTTGAAGCATGTTTTTTTTTTTTTTTATTCTGAAGTACGAATAACTTAGATGGGGAATTAAAAGTTACTATTCTAGTAGAAACCTCACACACCTTGTACTTCGCATCAGCAAAACTGGGATTAAAATACATACAGATATTTGCCTGTGAGAAGACACACATACCTTCCGTGAGCACACAGCCTGAAAGAGAAAAAGGAACTGAAAGTCATGTTTCTCTTCAATCCAAACAGCACCAGTTTTTGAAGTTCAGTTTACAGTATACCAGATGATTAATTTTACTATACTATAGATTTTATAATAGGCACATTTTACTATAATACAGGAACTTCTCAGAGAAAATCTGAAGAAAACTTTGAAAAACCAAAGCTGTAGAATGATAATGTAGATACAGAGTCCCAGGAATATGAAGCTACATATGTGAATACCTACATATTTACATAAATATTTGTGCCGTAGCAACACCCTGTGTTGAAGTTGTATATAGGTATGTTTCATGTTGTAAGCCACACCCTTTTGATTTGTGATTTCTAATTTGTGACACACGTATTTTACTCACCAGCATCACTGTAGATTAATTTGTGTATTGATTCCAGTGTTCCATTCTTAAAAAAATTGGCAACACACTCAAAGTGATTTGAAGGGTTGAACCATTCCTGGGCTGAGATCCTCAGTCGGCTGGTCAATGAGTAGGTACTCCCATTGCGTGTGGAAAACTCATCCGTGCCCACCCCTTCCATCCTTGTAGCACCATTCACCTTCCAGACCAGATCCAGGTGGTCAGGGTAGAAACCAGAGGCCAGGCATACCAGTGTGGCCTTGTTCTTCTGTTGGATCTCTGCCTTTGAAGGGGAAAAGATGGCCACGGCTGGAGGTATGATTTCATCGTTCTTCCCTGAAACAGAAAGCTATATGTCCCAGAGCTTCCATAACTGTCTTCAATCAGAAACCTCTTAAAATCTGTGCTGTGTGACTCCTGATATATCTGACCTTTTAACAACTGCCTATTAAACCATTCATATCTGTTATAGATATATAGACACCAGGAAACTGAAAGCATGTGTCTTCTCTCATTACACAGAAAAAAAAAAGGTCTGGCTACAGAAATGCGTGAGCGTATGAACTTCTAATATTGCCTCTGTCAGAAGAATAGGAAAGCTAAAAAAACCTGAGCAAACAGGTAGGCAAAAAAGTATCCAGTAGTGCTATAAGGCCTGTATTTTTTACATTGTGCCAGTAGCTCCGAGTCTGTGTTAAACAGCACAAGCATCTTCAACTGATTGAATTACATTCCTGGAGAGGTAGTAAGACATGATGGACACAGGGGCTTTGAGCAACCTGCTCTAGTGGAAGGTGCACCTGCCGATGGCAGAGGAGCTGGAACTAGGTGATCTTTAAGGTCCCTTCCAGCCCAATCCATTGTATGACTTTATGTATGTATGTATGATGGTTATTGCAGTGTTCAGAATATGACTGTTATGTGATGCCCTACTGGGACCCCCCCATCTGAGAGGAGACTTGAAAGGAAGGAGTTAATCTTTCTCACTCTCTGAAGTGAACAACACTCTAAGTAAGAAACCTGAACCTGCCTAGGACAAGTTTTGCTTTCCGTCTTAACTTGCCATCCTTCTCAAGACTATAGAGTATATAACTCTTTATGTTATTTATTATTTAGGTATGAGAAGCCCTGGACTACACATCTTCCCAAATTGATGCAAGATTCTATACACTCACAAACCAAAAGTTGTCCCCTGTCCTAAAGTATTTAATACCTTTAATACCTACATATAAGACTAAAACCAACAGATTTCTACATTCAAAAGGATGTACAAGGCAACATTGAGGTATTACTCAGAATCTACACAGTGACCCTAAAAGCCACCTTTCCCCAACCCGTCATTATTAGAGTGACTTTTTTACTCATCTAACATAATAAACCCACCAGACTACACATGGAAACAGAAGTGCAGAGAGAACTATGGTGCCAAAGGAAAAACTTTTACCATTTTTCAGTGTGAAGACACTACAAATGGTAGATGTTCCTCTTGCTCATTCCCTCCTTTCTGGAGTGGAAAGAATGAGCAGAATTAGCAGGAACTTGCATCTTGCATAGATCTTGACCCCTAAGCCCCAGTGTTTGCTTTCAACTATTAGCCTTAATCATGATTGTCAGTGCTTACAAAGATTGCTGGGGTGCTCCTGTGACAATGTGTGAGCTGGTACAGACTCCAGAAGAGATAACGGATAGTAATGGAAGTTTGGTGCTGCTCTGTTTTGCTTCCAGTGGATATGAGGAAAGGTTGATCAGTGTCACTGCTCGCTTCTAGTACTTGGCTTTAGGAATTTTTTTCCTAACCTTAAAGTATCTCTGACATAAGTTCACTGTCTCAGAACCTAAGAGCTAATGAGTGAAGACATGGAAAATTATAAGGAGGATGCAAAAAAAGGCAAAGAAGAAGGCAGGAGAAAAAGGCAGACAGAAAGAATGACAAAACTACTGGAAAGACAAAGAAAGCCAGAGAATGAGCTTGCTTGAAATACAATAAGGAGACTGGTACAAGCAAGAGCAGTGACAATCAGGAAAAAAGTGCTATCAACAGCCCATTCTGTTCTGATCTTCCACAGTGTTCATGGCAGATGCTGTCATAATGCTTAATCATTTCTATGCATAAACTCATACATTCTCTGTCACACATTTTTCACCCACCCAAGAGAAAAAAATACCACAGTTCTTCCATTCTTATCATGGCAAGGTCGGTTTCATGATTTCTTGTCAGTTTTCACTCCTAGTCTCATTTTAAGATCATCTGTGGATATGCCACATATCATTAACGCAAGGGGAATTTTCAAGTGTTCTCCATATTGAGTGCTGGAGTTAATCACAACTACTTACCCGTAACTCTGAGCATGGTGCCAACTCTAAAGATAAAAAGCAGAGCTATACACAATCAGACTATGACCCACAGTGTCATTATGCTCTTCTTGACAGCCACTTAGTTCTTTAAAATGGTGCTGTTTAAAGGAGCAGGCACCTGTGTGTATTCCTACAGTTCACTATAACATAACAGTAGCAGATGGAAAAGGTTTTTTGCCCCCTGATTCCAAAATGCCTTGATATAGATAATGTTAAATCCTTTCCTAGGAGGGGATAAGGCAGAGAAAGCAAATATTGGAAAGGAAAAAGAATAGAGGAGAAAAGTGCACTTAGACAAAAAGAATATGGTGCTTTTTGAGAATTAGAAGTCACGAAAAGGACTGTTAGAAGAAGCCAGTGCCCATAAGCAACTTCAGGCAGCCTGCCCATCATCTATGAAGAAGGGAGCAAAGTACCAGCTTTTCATGTCTGATTCAGCAGACACAAGAATCCACACTCTACCTCTGAAATGTTGCATTTGTTACAGAGATGAACTGCGAAAACTTGCATAGCAAAGGAGAATCTTTCATTCCCAATCTCCATGTTTTCTTGGAGAATTGGAGGAAATAAAATTGTTTCTACCTTTCTGCCTTTATGATGGGAGAAAGTAAGGGAAGACAAAGGCAATACACAGAAGGTTCTCAAAATCTGTGCCTGCAATTCCTACACTTCCATATTAGCACATCTCATTTTAACAAGCAACCAATAAAGCATTAACCCTGTCCTCACGGCTGTATGAAAAATGATCATTATTCTGCTGCTAATTAAGAATGCTCTTGTCCCCTAAACCAGTATTACATATATCACAGAGATCTGAATTTTGTCTTACCTATGACTGTGAGCTTTGTCCCACTGCCAAAAGTCAGTCTTGCATTAATCACACTGTTTTGCAGCTGCAGGAAAACCTCTCCTCTACTGTCAGTCTGAGCCGAGTCTGTGGACTAAACCCTCCCCTCATGCAGTACCAGCAAATGAAGAAACACAAAGTACATTTAAGGTCCCCTAAAAAACGAGATGTCTGTAAGGGAAAAGGAACACTGCCACATCTGTGTGTCTAACCAGGTGAGTTCAGTCACAAAAATACCTCTTTCACAGCCTTTTTGCTTCAGGCTTATGTGAATTGGGTGTTACAGTTTGCACCATTTCTTTAGAGGACATTTATCTATTTATCCAGCTGTACTATTAGAAAATATTTCCCATATTCAGAGACAATAATTTTCTTAAACAGACTCATTTCCTTAATTTCCTCATTTTCTTTCAACATCATGAATATTCTTCTCTTGTAAAAAAATTGCCTTCATTTTGGTTTTTTTTTACTTACAAAATAACTTTCAATACACAGAATCCTGGTCTACTGTCCCCATTTGATTGGTTCCTGAACATCCCTCCCTTTCTCCTTCACTGGAAGGAATTCTCTCTGTTCTCTTATCTAGGATTATTAAAGTTAGCTGCATGATTGACTATGGTCAGTGAGGGATCAGCGTACTGATTTTTGTCAGCTCAGGGACCTCAGATTCACACTGGATTTCAAAAAATGTGCTGATCACTGACTTTGTGGAGGTTGAATTTTATCACTTGTAAGCATTTTACTCTGCAGTGGAATACTGTGATACAAAAGGCTGAGACACCAGTTCTTCTGACTCCAGGAGCAACGCAGTGAGAAGAAGAGATCACCATCATTTATCAGAAGCAGACTTGTTCTCCCAGAATTGTAGCCCAGAAAGAAACATTCCCTGAGAGCTATTTTTGTTTGAAATGAATGACATATTCACTTCTGTAGATTTCAGTGGCCTTTTGGCATCTCCTCTGAATTAGGAAGATCATTGTCCTGAATGATCTTTTTATCACCATCTTGATGAGTCTGTTTTCTGGAAAAACTTGCTATGTTTTCTGTGGAGACTTGGAATTTAACAGCTGCAGAGACCTGTTAGTATTGCTTATATTAAACTTGAGTGGCTTCTGTTTTGTCAGCTAAAAATGCTAGTGCACTTACTTGTCTTTCTTGCTTATCTGAGTTAACACATGCTTCAGTTTACCCTGGAAAGATCCAAAGTCATTTAAGTTTGTAGAGTCTTTATGTTATTTTCTAGACCTGTCCAAAGCATTACTGTAACTCAGTTCTTTCCAGACAGATAACCTTTCATTGACTTGTCCTTTATCATCTGTAGCCCCAGAAGAACTAGCATTATGGAAAATAGTTATACTTTTGGGAAATACTGATTTTTGCAAATTAAGACAATATACTTATGAAATGCATATATTTTTTAACCCATTACTCATTCTAATTCTTTCAATGGTCAACTTTTTATTCACTGAAAAGACATGCATTCAGTTCTCCAGAGTGAAAAGTGTTTACCTAACTAGACCATTAAATTTAGTCTATTCTTCGAAGTAGACTGGGTTACTAGCACATCACAAAAACATCAGTTTAATAATGAAAGGGAGAATAAGGTGGGAGTGAAGTTCTCTAAAGAGTAGATGTGGAATTTGAAGTGATTTAAAAGAGAAAACAAAAGTATCTTACCTATTACTGTAAGTTTTGTGCCATCACCGAAAGACAAGGTATTTGTGGTCACGGTGACGAAGTGTTGTACTATAAGCTAAGAAAAGCACTGCAGCTGACTTCAGTAAGCAGAAGCTTAAGCAGTGTTTACTCTACCTGAAATCCCCAAAATTCACAAGATCCCTTAATCTCTGTCTGAAGGGATTTGGCTGAAAACCAGCTTGAAATAACATTATATAATCTGTATAATAATTTATAAAAGAATTTCCAGGAGTTTTTGATACTTTTACTGGCTACATTTCATCTGAAGTTGTTTTACAACCTTTCTATATTCTCCATGTTATCTGATTGATACAGAATCATAGAATGGTTTGGGTTGGAAAGGACCTTAAGATCATCCAGTTCCAACTCCCTGCCATGGGCAGGAACACCTCACCCTAGACCATGTCGCCCAAGGCTCTGTCCAACCTGGCCTTGAACACTGCCAGGGATGGAGCATTCACTATGTCTTTGGGCAACCAGTGCCAGCGCCTCAGCACCCTCACAGTAAAGAACTTCTTCTTTATATCTAACCTGAACTTCCCCTGTGTAAGTTTAAACCCATCACCCCTTGTCCTGTCGCTACAGTCCCTAATGAAGAGTTCCTCTCCAGCATCCTTGTAGGCCCCTTCAGACACTGGAAGCTGCTCTGAGGTCTCCCCACAGCTTCTCTTCTCCAGGCTGAACAGCCCCAACTTTCTCAGCCTGTCTCCATAAGGGAGATGCTCCAGCCCCTCATCACCCTCGTGGCCTCCTCTGGACTTGCTCCAACAGCTCCATGTCCTTCTTATGTTGGTGACACCAGAACTGCACACAGTGCTGCAAGTGGGGTCTCACGAGAGCAGAGCAGAGGGGCAGGATCACCTCCCTCGACCTGCTGGTCATGCTGCTTTTGATGCAGCCCAGCACGCAGGGGGTTTCTGGGCTCAAGTACAAACTGAAGCCAGCTCATGTTCAGTTTCTCATGGACCAACACCACTAAGTTCTTCTCTGCAGTCTGCTCTGAATCACTTGTCTGCCCAACCAGTAGCTTTTTTGTGAACCTGCTGTTTTCATTTTGCAAGTGTAGAAACCATACAGGTGTACCTAAAGTGGAGGAGGCTAGATGCTACAGCATTCTTACTGTCAGTCTTGTACGCTGAGCATTGTGAAGTCTTCCATTCTGCAGCTTGAGGAGTTAATAATCAAGTAATACTTGCTTTGTGGTTGTCATAGTCACATGCCCTTTCATATAGGTTGCTTACCTTTGTTGCACTGAACTAAAATCCATTTGTTTTCCCTTTAAATGGCAGGTCAGCCATCCTGAATAGTCTTTTACAATCCCATTCAATTTTCTGATAGGTTGAAAGTCCAGGAGAATAAGTTGTCTGGTCTCAGACAAACCCTTGATAGCCATTAGGAAAAACTGCAGTGAGACAGTGTGAAGGTTTAGAGAAAACCTTTGTGCTCACAGGCATGAGTGGACACTGGATTCTTATTTAAGAAAGATACAGCGTATTTCATATAGTGCCTCTGAGAGATGCCTGCTATATGTCAGAATTCTTTTTCTAACACTTTTATCACATTAATAAAGAACCGTTTATTGCAAACATTATCACATCATAAAAGAAAAACCACAAAAAACAAACAAACAAACAAAACAACCTAATTTTCTGCTTCATGCACTCAGATAGGTTTTACGTGCACCTGCAGCCAATCATCTGGCTTACTGAAAATTATTTCAATGTCTCAGCATCTCCTGGCTTGTTTTCCAGAGATGGCAGGGGTGGTTCTCAGATGACGAAAGGAAGTCCTAGTATACCAGGTTTGTCAAGAAAAGCCAAGACACAACATGCCTGCTGAGCTGCAGAATTCTCTGTAGCTGTCTTAATACACCCTCCCGCAAGACACATAAGGGTTTTTGTAAAGGCCTCCTGGAGAACGTACCATTGTGCATAACCTGTTCCCACAATGTTACAACCTCCTACAAAAACAATCCCACCCATGGCTCTGACGTCCCATTTTTGTTGCCACAAAAGATTGCCATGGGGACCACAGGCCACATCCTTCCTTTGCCTCTTTCTGTGTGACAGTCCAATTACTTCTGAGTGTAGTCATTATCCCTGAATTTTTAAGTCCAAGATTTTTTTCCCATACGAAAAAAAAATGAAATATATATATA